ATTAACATCAATATCGCGGGAAGCCACGTACGGTCGCGCGGAACGGGAGGTGCAGCTACGCTCAGTCGTTTTATATAATTTTCACGAAGCGATTGGCCGTTCATCCGCTTACTCGATAATTGCGAAACGGCCGTGGAAAAGTCAGACGGAACGTTTGTCACTGGGTACGGGCGAGGACTCGATTTCCCGCGGACTGCATTTGCATGCATAAATTCATCACAACCGTGGAAATCGTGTCTTGATGTTTTTCTACACGCACAACACCCTCTCTGCCCGTTCACCTTTCCGATGCGAGTTCGATTTGGTTTTCAATTTTCATTCGTACCTGGATTATAGCTGTTATTAATCGAAACAGAAAAACCCTACACCGGGATTTTATTGCTGAACTTTTTTAGCGCGATTCATGAGTAGAAACAGGCGAGAAGGAATGTTTTGTGAACGTAATAGGCTTGTGGAGTTAGAGCCACTGATTATAGACGATAACATTTTTACTTGTTTTGCTAGTAATATCTGCTTAATCCAAATTGGTTTCAATAAAATCATATCATAGAATACTTTCATGGCACTCAAAAGTTAGAACGTCCTCTAAGCAACATTTCAACCCTAATTCGCTGCTCTCGTCGATCAACAAAAATCTCCACTCCGAAATTAACATTCCATAAACCAGAAAATCACTTGCTCGATCATCAAGAAAACCGTTTCCCAGCGTCTCGCACGCGAATAATTTTCACCGGTGACGTTTGTCGTACCCGATCAAACGCTTTCCGTGAAGGGTAGTAAAACGCATTGACGAAGTTCCACGGAAAAAAATGAAAGGCAATCCTCCGTCGCTGTGTATGTACTTTACACGAGCGCGCGTTTAGCCTCGTTACCCGCGTTCTCGAAAGGTAACACGGCGTCGGTTGAAATAAAAATTTTCCACGCGACTACGTGCTCGGATACAACTATTTCCGAGCGGGTCGCCGGAAAGGGGTAGAATGGCTCCGCGACTGCGTCGGAATTTTTACACCGGCACTTTTATGCGTCTTCCGTAATTTTTTGGACACGGCCCGTTAAACTTTTTATCCCCCGGGCGCGGCGCGTGATGATTTTTGCAGAACGGCCATCGTAACCGTCTCCCACCCTTGGCCGCCACCAACTCCCGCCCGTCGGTTTCTAGCTTTTAAACCGGACGCCAGATTCGCGTGGATTGCGCGGACGGATTAAGTGGATTACGACGCAGTCACTTTGCAGAGCCTTTTGAGGCAGCCGGATCTTAAAAAATTAAACCAGCCCGACCGTGGTTTAAACCGCTCCACCGCGCCTCTTCGCGCGCCGGTCTCTTGTTGCTGTTTCGTGTTCGGTCCGCGTAGAATGGGAGCGTTACGAGCGCGTAATCGGCTCGTTTACGATGCACCATTTTTTATTGAAGAAGGCAAAGCTGAATTACAAACTACATGGCTGCCCGTAAAACGATTCGCGCCGGAGTTACTCTTGTTCCCGATGAAAATGTTGCGTTAAAATGCAGTGCGCGAGTTGGTTGTATGATGTGACCGGGTTACGGGTGTTTCTTTATGGAATTGTAAATGAACAGGTTGTTAACGCTGACTTTACGGATATTTATTCTATAGTTTATTCTATTGTTCTCAGCGAAATAGATGTTCGTTTATATTTTGGAAATTAGGGGTTTAAACGTAGACAAATGGGATACGTATTTTTGTAATTGGCTCGATCGAAATCGATGTAGATGTTTACCGAATCATTTTTACTGAATTCAATATGCGTCAGACTGAGGTGTTTCGTAAAGCTAATATTAAACGTGTAATAACGGATTGGTTATTTTAACGATTGAATTGGAAAATGTTGCCAATAGTAGGAGTTAAAGAAACAGTTACATAAAACCATTAAACTTCCTTTGTCCGAGGCTCAGTTTTCCAGGGAACCGATTTTGGAGAATCGTTGCGTACGCATGCACTTGCTCTGCTAACGATCGTCGAGCGACGTTATCCGTTAAAAGCTGTCGTCAAAGGAAAACACGTTAATGCTGTCATTGTTACGTTCATAGCAGAGTGCGTGATCTGTTTTCTGATTACGTTATCGGTAATGGTGGTTTGAATAAATATTTAAACGAGTTGTACAATCAGCCTTTTTGTTTTTCTTACTAATATTACACGAAAATAAGGTAAAGTGTCAATTATGATAGGTTAAAGCGTTTTACATCTACCGTATGAAGAATTTAAGTTTGAAATTCCGTTAACATTCGGTCTATTTTGCAGTTAATCGCAGACGATTCAATTTTATGTTTATTACTAGTAATCCACGGAAAGAGATACGATGCCTGCATTTGTCGTAAGTATACAGTGACTGTAACGATTAAATATCGATAGTAGCAAAGCATCGGTTCGCTTCAAATTAAGCGAAATTGATGATAGTCAAACAAATCCCATTGATTTGAAATGTTCGTTGTGTGTTTGACTTGTTACTACAAATCAGAATTATTCAGTATTCCTGTGATCTCTCTAAACTCTATTAAATATTTGTTTCATTGACTGAAATTTTGTAATAATTTTGGAAAGTAGATGTAGATTAGAATAAACATCGAATGTATCGTCTGATAAAAGTTGTAAGTGTAGAAAATATAAATATGCAAAGAATTGTCGATCAGCTTAATACAAATTGAGAAGATCTTATGGGATTTCAGTGTTCCTAGGAAATCTCAGGATACAGAGATCGCAAGGAGCATACACAGTTTTAGAGTTCCCAGAATTTCGGAGGGTTTCGGTTTCCTAGATGGTTCGGTGGTCTCAGGAGATCTGAGGGTTCGGGAGTTCGGTGATTATGAGCTTAATCAGGATCTTACCTTCATCGTATAGACTCTGGAAATTCTAAAATATCTAAGATTCTCAAAATGTGCAAAATCTCTAACATAATCAAAAATCTTTAGTATTCAAAGATAAATTAGTCATTCGGGTTTTTTTCAAAGTCTAGGAATCTCCAAATCCTTCGAGACCTCTAGATTCACCAAATATCTTAACTTTTCGGCTTTACCTCTTCAGACTGGGATTCAGTTTAATTAAAAGATTTTGTTCCAATTTTACGTATAAAATACATAATTGCTTGTACCAATTATCGGTAAAGTAGATTTCTAGTTTTACCAGATCTGCAAGGGTTAATTCTTTGCAGTTTAAACGTCGTCAATTGTCAATTGCTACGATAAAAATTTAATTCCTCTATAAATGAGGTATAAATTCACTAATTATCTTAATCTTGAATACAATTAAACACTTGTAAATAATAAACGAGAGATAGTATGAAAAAAGTGTTTAAAGATGATAGTTAGTCAATTACTTTCAACAGAAAAAGTAAGTTCTCACGTTCGATGAATCTTATACTACAATGTGTTAAGAAAATAATAATCTTCATTTTCCGACCACTTCAATATTCTCAAGTAATAATTCAATTTACCATAACTTCGAAACTAAAATGTACGATTTGTAAACGTTGAAATAATCAGGTTTTTCAAATCATCCGTCAAATCCTTCAAGTGTTGCTAGATTCTGTAGGATCACTTTCAGAACGTTACGAGGCGCAGCGAGATTCTTCATCTCCCAGGAAGTACGAAAACAGACAGTTTATTTGATGGTATGATAGGAGGGGCTTAAAATCGTCGAGGCACCGTAAAAATAGTGACCCGGTTCTCGTTGAACGGGGATTAATCGCGTCGCGTCGGGCGTCATTTTTCAATCTCCACGATCGTATCAGAATAATTACGGTACGGTTTGTTGCACAAGGTAGTGGCCGCGTTGCACTGACATTTACGCGGCGATACTGAAAACCGTACAAAATTTTGGCACAGTGGACTCGTGCCGTGAATATCGTTCCCGATAAGATCTCTGTTTCTCTCTCCCGCTATCTCACTCTCTCCCTCTCTTTGTGGTTGTAGATTCGATTACGGTGAACAATGGACAGCTTTCCATGAAGAAACAGTCGGTTTTCCGCCATGAATATTTTCGAGAGCAGCCTGCATATTGATTACACGAACGATGCGTATACCAGCATTATTGTAAAGAACGACGATAGAAAATATAAACTGTCCGCCGGGATCGATATTAACGTTACGGTGTAATGCTTTGTAATTTAGATGACGTTTCTCTATTTTCCTCTTTTTTCTCCTCTGTCGATATTTTTCTCTCGCGCCGAGGAACGAACTATCAAATCGAGCGGGTCGTTCGGCTCGAATTTATAAATACTGTTTGATGGAACGGCAGAGAAATCCGAAACCTCGAACCCCGGCGATAGTTACGGTCGGTTTTCACGGTGTCGAATGATTCCTTTTTCTATGACTAGATTTTTGTCGGGAATAAAAATTTCTCTCCGATATATTTTCGTCGTGGATATTCCTGGTAAAATGTTCCGCGCGACGATTTATTACGAAAACCGAATTGTTTGCCCCCGAACTACCGTGGATTATTAATTTTATTTTATATAATCGCCCGTTAAACGGACGAACGGGAATTTAATTATTAATTAACATCGTTACGGATATTATCACGTGTTTAAGCGCTGAATTCTTTCAACGGATGAACGACGGAACAAAAATGCATCGGGGTTCGCGACAAAAGACGAGAAATTAAAATGTAAATATTCATGGGACGCAAATATAAAAAAGATGCAAATGCGAGCCTGTCACTGGCCAGTCTCGCGTGTATTTATTACTATTTATTACTATTTTGCCGATATTTAACTGCAGTATGGTTTCAAAATATTGCACGAATAAAACAGAATATTTTCATTACAATTTTCATTAGAATTCACTCTCGTGGGTTAGTTTCTGTTTCAAATTTAAAACGATATATTTATAATGAAATCTATTAATTATACAACAAAGTGTATAATTTCACGTATAATACTTGTTAATTTACGCAAACGTGCCCAGCAATTCCACAAATCCTGAAGTACTGTATGGTAACCGCCTTAAGTCGGAATAAAACCGTGAGTAATTCAGTGAACCGTATACTTACGTGCACAAGCAGTGCGCCGCAGTCAGAACGAATTTTGAGTTAAGAATGGTGCCGCCACAGAAATGTCCTCCCTTCCTGCTGATACTAACCATCCAAGGAAACTCGTGCGGTATCGCGTTTTGTCCTCCGACGAGTCTCGCGGCGCGCGTGCCAATTGCTCCGTGTCCGCATGGCACGTCTGCAACTGTCAACGAAACGTCCATCTTATTAATGTAGTATTCAGAGTTTATTTAGTGTATTTTAGGTTTAAAACTTAGCCCTGGGGAGTATGAATGTGAGGATAAGTGCGTGCGAAGGGACAGGAAAAGAACTATAAAAGAGAAAGCTGTAAGCGCAGGGCCCAGCCATTGTCAATCTTGTATTGAGTCGTTTGAATTGTGTCCAGTTCTACTGGAAATTCAATTCCAATTTCTATTTCTTTTAGTCTCAATAAACACTGTTTTCTGTTCTTGTTGCTTCCGTTTCCTCGTTCCGTTACCCAAATATTTCATTGGTTTTATTGCATTTAATTTTCTGTATATTAACGTCCAACGAAATCCGACGAACGTATCGTAGCGACAAAAGGGGAGAGCAAGGAAACGTGCGCGCGTCAGCAATCGCGATCGAGAGAAATTACAGAAACGCGGGAAATGGGTTCGGAAAAGTTGCAACCGCCAAAGGACCTCGTTCTCGTTACACCGTGCGCCCCCTTTTTTCGCCCCGTTCCTCTTTTTTCATTAAACGAGCCCGTACTGCCAAGAGCACCGGTCTTGCGTCTGTGCCAGGAAAGTTCGTTTTAACTTTTATCGGAAATAATCACTTAGCAAACAGGCGTGTTCATTAACGCCGAACGGAGATCCCGTTTTCGTTCATGCCGCGCCGCGAATGGTACATTTTCCGGTTCCGTAAGCTGCATTCATAGGGGAACCGGGCGCACGGTTTCAAAAAGATCATCCGGGCAGTTGAAAAGTGTGTTAGCTGGAGTGTATCGCCGAGAAATTGTTTCGTTCTGCTGGACGAAGTATTGGTGCCACTTTTGGGATGTGGGCCACTGACATGAGATAACGTGGGACCATTTTTTCAATGGAAACATATTTGAATTCGTATTCTTAACTGAAAATATATTGAGTGTATTCGTTGGAATTGAGTTTTTTAGTTTGATGGGAAATTGATGGGACAGTACTCGTGGTTTTTGATCGAGTTAAGATTGTTTTGTATTAATGGTTAATTATAAAGTGGAGATGTTCTGAGACGAAATAATTGGATCCATGAGCTGTGGAATATTAGTTTATGATATTTTTGCGTGAATATGAAATTGTTTTACATATTTATAAAGGAGGGCATCGTATTGCGAAGATTTAATAAAACTTTCGAAGTAGAGGCTATAGTTCACGGTCCTTTGATGTGCAGTATGAGAAAATTACTGTGAAGTATATACTTATGAAAGTATTACAAATATTGTAAAATGTTCAAACGTATCGATCGATGGTAAGACATACGTGTATACTGTTATCAACGGTGGTCATATTGGAAATCCATTTTCTGTGCCTCGATGGATTATAGGCTATCAATATTTATGTAACGAATAATTCTTTATTTACGTGATTTACGTACTTCACTCAGTACACAGCTTTAATAACATTTCGTGTTTACGAGTTGCGAAGCGAAGCTGCATTAACATGAATCATTTTACTGATTACTTTACCTAAATTCTACATGTAACCGTTAATTTCAATGACATCGATGATAACCCATATTTTTACGATTATATATATACAAGCCTCTGTTCAATAAGTAAACCCATAATACTGTATCATATACTTTCATTAATACAATAAGTCGTATTACACGAGGACTGCTATAACTCTTGCGTGTTATAAAAGGTACTATTATGAGAATTCCGGGATATATGTACTTCGAGTACTTCACTCTTTGTGCACCGAATACCAGCTTATACGTTTCACTAGACCAAATTGTTTCGAAAGATATTACACTATGAAACACAATAAAATGCAAATACGTGTAATAAAATTGATCTAATATTTCTTGGGATAAGTTTACAATGGAACTGCCGTAGAACTAACGGAACTTGCGTTTTCAATGAACCTACCAAAAGTTATCGAAACAGAAGAAGAATTATTTCGTATCCCCCCAAAGCATATCACGAACAGCTGCGCCACAAACGTAACCGTTATGTATCATATTACAATGATTAACCGTAGTACGCGCAAAAATACACAAGTGATTGCAATCAAGCATAGAAACCATTGCAGAATGAAAAGAAACAAACAACTATGCATCAACATTTGCAATGGCACCAGAACCTGATTGAATACTCCCAACCAGGGCGAAGAAGCTTCAGTAGTAACTAAACCCATAATTTCCAAATTAAGCAACGAATACAGTGATGCATCATTTATCCCGCTAACCAAGGTTCCGATAACGAAGGTTCCGCCGTATTTAATATCTTCGAATCTTTCGAAGCAACGCGATCGACGGATCACGCTCGAGGTGGTCCAGCATGCAGTGCGCGATCGGTTTAATTGAAACCTGAACCAGCGCGTACTGTGGAATGTTAACCGATTCAAGAGGATCGCAGCCGGCGACGGTGCCGGTACTGGCATCGCGCGAATTTAATGCCCCGAGCAGATAGGGATAGATACGGCGGATCTGTCACCGCAATCCCTGCGACAACCCCCCTCCAGCCCGGCGAACCCTCCGCTGGCAACCCCTTTCGGCCCTCCACCGGATCCCCTCTCGTTTCACGCCCCGGCTGATTAATTGGACCTCTACGTCTGCACCATCGCTGGTACCCTCCCGCGTCCGCCGCGGGGCCCCTCGAGCCCCTCACCGCCTTCCAGTCCCTTTCTCTACTTCCGCCCTCCAGTTTCTCTTCTCTACGGCCCCGTTGACAACGACGTTTCGGGCAGGAGGTACGGAGAGTAGACAGAGATAGAGTAGGACGGATGGACAGGGGTGCGGGAGGGCTGGAGGCGGGACAGGCATAGAATTCGAAGTCGCCTCTATTCGGAAACGCGTAATAGATATGTCAAAAGCAGGCCGAACATGGTCATGATAATATGCTGATGCCTTCGGCGTGGACCCACCTCCTAGCTCGTTTACCCTCCCTCTGCGATTCCACCCCGTAG